GACGGGGCCCGGGGTGCCGGTGGCCGGGCCGGGGGAGGAGCGCGGCGGGGGCGTCAAGGCGTCGCGCTGGCGCGGGCGGCAGAACCGCGAGAAGCGCTTCACCTTCGTGCTGGCCGTGGTCATCGGCGTGTTCGTGGTGTGCTGGTTCCCCTTCTTCTTCACCTACACGCTCACGGCCGTCGGCTGCCCCGTGCCGCGCACGCTCTTCAAGTTCTTCTTCTGGTTCGGCTACTGCAACAGCTCGCTGAACCCGGTCATCTACACCATCTTCAACCACGACTTCCGCCGCGCCTTCAAGAAGATCCTCTGCCGCGGGGACAGGAAGCGCATCGTGTGAGCGCCCCGCCCGCGCCCCGCACAGACCCGGGCGGACGGCAGGCAGCGGGCACCGACGGGCGCTCGGAAACCCGGGGCCTGCACGCGCTGTTCCTGAGGCTGCAAATCATGCAGCCCGCATCGTCGTTACGGGCCGTTCTTCAGGGTGGTCCGCCCCTCATCAGTATTGTTTTCTAAAGGTGTTTTCACCCTCTCCTGGTCCACTTCTCATAGCTCCTCAGAGCGAGCAGCGGACTCCAGAGGGCACGGCTCACAAAGGGTTAATGGGTGGGGGTTACCCATCTCTTGCTAATTGTTTTTCCTCAGCCACTCTCTTAAAAAATAAAAAAAGCTCAGGGCAGCCTTGCCCGCCTTTCCCGCTCCCCGTTGTAAATATACACTATTTTTGATAGTACGCCTGGAGGTCCCCAACGTCGTCGGGTGGCCTTGGTTTAGATATTGGGATCCTGGCTGTCTGAGAGATGCCCTCCAAGCAGAAGCAGCGTCCGGTTCAGACCAAACCCCTTCGCAGTGCAAGCCCTTTTCTAGTGTTATTATGTCCCTCTGTGTCCTTTTCACCAGAAACTGGGGACGGTCCCTTGCAAGTGGACCTACTTTGAGATTTCCTAACAGGGAAAAGATTTCTGTCCATTTCCCCCCCACCCCCCCGTGCCTAACAGCATAATTGCCTTTCCCATTGTAAATATTACAATGATGGACCAAGACAAGTAAATGAGCCTTTCCGCCTTGCAGCAGCCCTGTGTATAAAGCCATTATCCTCTGATGCACCGATCGCCCCAGTAAGTCACTTTAAAACCGTTCTTTCCGGTGTCCCTGCCTCCCTGGGGGGTGGGGGAGCACTGCTTAAAGAGGAATATGTATGTTTCTACCTTGTATGTATGTGCGCCCCCTCCCTCCCTGAAAGCGCTGACTACGGTGAAATCTTCTAGCTGCTGTTTTTAGAGACAGAGGACTGCAAATTATGTGGAAGAAGCAAGCCTGACACAATTTGCCCAAGGTAAACAATTTGAGAAAACAAATGGGCCTGCCACACTGTACAGTTCCCGCCCCAAGAGCTCTTAGGTATCAAAGTGTTGTCCTTTTCCCCACCCCACTGCTTTTCCAGTTGAGATCATATCACTGATGAACTGCCAAAGTCAGGGGAGGAGGGCGGAGACCTTGTGTTTACATCGGAGTTTCTACATATTTTAGAGACAATTTAAGTCCTGCGATCTTATTTCACTAAAGAAAAATTAATGTCAGCACATGTTGCTAATGACAGTGGATTTTTTAAAATAAAAAAGTTTACAGATAAATGTGAAATAAATATGAATGAAGTGGTCCTCCTGTCTGTTATCTGAGTTTTCAAAAGCTTTAAGACTCTGGGAATATCTGCTTTTATGAATTTTTTTAAAATAAAAAATACATGTCCATTATAAAATACCGTACTTTGTTGTGTCAGCAACAGCAAAACTACCTCTTACTAAGTGTCTCTTATGTGCTAGACACTGAAGTAAGACCCTTGTAGACATGGCTGCTAATCTTCCCAGGAATGCTGTGAGGTAAGTTCTATTGTTATCCCCATTTTACTGGTCAAACTGAGTCTCAGAGGGCAAGTGATTTGCTCAAGGTTAACAAGTGGTAGACATGCACTGCATCCAGCTTTATCTGGTTCCAGAGTCAGAACTCTTAAACCCAGAGCCTTTCCAGAGTTACAGCATTAACACCTCTCAGAATGTTCCCAGCAGCGAGGCCTCTACACAAAGTGTGCTGATTACACGAGATGTGGTATATATCCCCCAAACGTAGATATACACAAGGTGTGGACGTACCCCAAAGTGTCTATATGCCCTAATGTGTGTTTATACCTAAAATTGTGTATCTACCCCAATGTGTGGTATATGCACAAAGTGTGGAATATACTCCAAAATGTGTATCACAGAGATGTGGTATATATCCCCCAAACGTAGATATACACAAGGTGTGGACATACCCCAAAGTGTCTATATGCCCTAATGTGTGTTTATACCTAAAATTGTATATCTACCCCAATGTGTGGTATATGCACAAAGTGTGGAATATACTCCAAAATGTGTATCACACCTTAAAGTGTGATACTATGAGGGTACTTCAAAAAGTTCATGGAAAATTGAATTAAAAGGTAATGTGAATCCTTCCATGAACTTTTTGAAGACCCCTCGTACACAACATGTGGTATATGCACAAAGTGTCGAATAAATAGAACCGTGTATAGCCAGTGATTGGGATGGTCTCTGGCCAAGGGAACTTTGAAGCTGGAAGGGCCCTTAGAGATCCAGGAATCCAGAGGAGGAGGCAAGTCCAAGAGAAAGTGACTTGCTCAGGATCCCGCAGCAGCTCTGGGGGACAGGGGTCCAGACCCAGGCTTCCTCGGTGAGGAAGCAGCTGAGCAGGTGTGCAGTGGCTCTGTGAGTACAGTCAGACGCAGCACTGACAAAGAGCCATTCACTGAGGAGCATGGTTTGAGGGGTGGCCAACACGAGTGACAGGTTGTGGTCATGGGAGGGCCAGACTTTGAGGCCCAGCCACTATGACGTGTGAAGATCAGCTCCGGACCCCCGTGGAAGCAGGTCCTCTGTACCCTCTGAGCAGAGCAGGCAGCGAGTCCTCATCTCCCTTGACTTCTTTGGAGGTGTGAGGGTGTGTGTGTGTCGGGATGGGAGGGTGCCCTGAGAAACGATCTAGACCCTGAGGGGCCGGGAGAAGGAAGACAGTGGTTCTGAGGGTTTTTTTAGAGGCGGGAAGGAGTTCCCTCATCATCTGTGTGCTCTGAGCCCGTAGGCGGGAGGGTGGGCAGACACTTGGCTCCAGAGGGCCCTGCTGAGGGGCTTCACAAACCAGCCTCCTTGCCTGTGGCGCCTACCTGTGGCGTCAAGGCTGGCTCCCTGGTCTGGCACTGTGGTCTGCTCCCCCCTCAGCCTCTCCTCTCCCTCCTCACCCCAGGGCACCCATCACCCCAAAAGCAAACAGTGCCAGACAATAGGCCAGCCTGGCAGGCCCCCAGGACCCGGGGTGTGTGTCTGGGCACAGGCGCAGATACAAATGCTGCTTGCTGTTGACTGCTCTGTTCTGCTCTGTCCACAGGAGAAGTGTTTGACTTGCTTTTGCTCCCAGAGGCCCGTTGCTTGGGAAAGGGGGAAGTGTGGGCAATGGTGCCACATGGAGGGGACTTTGGTGTCACTCCGCTCCCCAAACAGCAGCAGAGAAGCTTTAGAGATGGATGGAGCCTGAGGAATGTGGGGGAAAGAGGGCTGGAGCTCAGGCTTGGAGGCTGGGTTTCTGAGTTCACAGCAGGAATCGCTGTTTGGCTCCCCAAACAGCAGCAGAGAAGCTTTAGAGATGGATGGAGCCTGAGGAATGTGGGGGAGAGAGGGCTGGAGCTCAGGCTTGGAGGCTGGGTTTCTGAGTTCACAGCAGGAATCGCTGTTTGCTCTTTGCAAAGGGCTCAAGTGACAGTCTGCAAAGGTGGGGCATGGGGAAGGGAATTGAGGAGGAGAAATGGCTTCCACAGGGATCTTAGCCTAGAGAGCAGGAGATGAGACTAACCCCACAGCTTCCTGTCTGTACTATCTGCTCCTGATTATGTGGGCCAAGAGGATCTGTCCTTGTGGCTCCGTCTCCTATTTTATGTAACTTGGGTATCAAAAGCTGTTGGCTTTGGGGTCATAACCATGTCTTGCCAGATTCACTCCTGTGAGTGAATTGGGCTGGGGAAAGGGTAGTGCCCTCATTTGAATGTGGGCACAAGGCACCCCCAACTCCCACATCCTACTCCCTGAGCTCCCAGCCCTGGCCACCTCTCTGTCCTGCACACTCACAGCCCATTACCCCCAGTGGGCACACGGCATCCACTTCTCCTCCCCAAGGCTTTGTTCAATTTCTTCTATGCTGAAGAGCTGGAGGAGAGAATGATGGCGTAGGCTTTTCCCTCTCAATGATCCTATAATTGAATCAGAGTTTTAGAGCCAGAATTGTTCTCAGCCATCTTCAACTCCCAGATTATACTGATGAGGGAGCTGAAAAGCTGGCTGGGTGTGTGGCATCCCAGGGTCCCTTGAGCCCTCTCCTCCCGTGACTCTCGGTCAGATGCCATATATACCCAACATGAATTCTGTTTTGTTGAATGCACTGGGTTGCTAATGAGCCCCAGAGGACCCCTCTGTGCCTGCTCTTTTTCCAGCACCATGCTAGGCACCGCAAGACAGTTCTCTTCCTTTCCCACCTGCCCTGTGCAAAGCCCACCATTGTCCTTGTGGGAGTTAGCAGAGATTAGGGCCTGCCTCTGCCTTCTGGAAGCTTTAGAGCTGCACGGGGAGACAGGATGTGCCTGTGTGAAGGATTAAACAGCCGTGCAGCAGTGACAGCATGGCAGAGGGAGTGGATGTTGTGTGCTCACTAGGGGTAATGGGCATCGATCTGTACTCTGAGTGTGCAGAGGGGAGAGGTGGCCGGGGCTAGGAGCTCAGGAGTAGGATGTGGGAGTTGGGATGGCTAGACTTTGGCTGAGGGGGAGGGAAAGTTGCTCTGGTTCTAGCAGCTGAGCTCTGTGGGACCAGTGCCAGGCCTAAGCAGTGGCACCCATGTCCCTGATCCTTGGGGATGGCACGGCAAGGTCCTGTCTCCATTTGGGGACACCTGCCAGGAAGTCTATCTCCCTGACTCAAGTGCAGAGCAGGATCCGTGTACCTGGGCCCCTTCTCTGTCCAGAGCCAGGGCCCAATGTCAGCCTTACCCTTAGGCCTCTGCCCTGGGCCCTGCCATGCTCCCTGCCCCAGTGGGTCTGAGAGACTGGGATGCAGGAAAAGGCACCTTCCTTGGCAGAGGGTGTGCCTGAGAGGGAAACCAGGTGAAGCCACTGAGCACAGTCACAAACACTAGGGTTTATTTTGGAAATAGCATTGATCTCTTTGGTTACCAGAAATCCTGGGTTTAGAGTTAAATACAAAAAAGGGTACAGGGATTGTTAGAAAGAGCCTAGACCTGGGCATTAGGAAGCCTGGGTTCTAATTTTTGCCTTTTACTAGCTGTGCGGCCTTGAGCAAATCCCTCTCTGAACCCCTGTTCCTTCATTATGTAATGAAAGTTTTATAAATGTTATGTGAAAGTGTGTTCCATGGAGTTAATTTAACTACAAATTTATCTATCTGTCTATATCATCTATCACCTATTTATCATCTATTACCTATCTATCATCTCTCTGGTGAGATGCTGGGCTAAACGTCCTTTAACAGGTACCTTTTCTTCAGGACCTCGCAGAGGCTTTAATATGCCATCATGGTTTACAGCTCTCCAAGAGAGGACAATATGGTGAGCTATATTTCTCAAACTCCCTGGACTGTAAAA